TATATCTATATGTCTAATACCTGTATCGTATATATTCACAACAGATAGTTCTCTTTCTTTCTTTCTTTCTTTCTTTCTTTCTTTCTTTCTTTCTTTCTTTCTTTCCGTCTTCCTTTCTTTCGCTCTTTTTGCCTGTGCCGAGGGTACGCTAAACTTTTTCTCTCTTCGTCTCTACTTTTATTTTTTATTTAGTTTGTTGTTCTCTTTTTAGATAATATCCGGACTCCCCCGCGCCTCGGCGTGGCATGATCTTCTTGGCTACGCTGCGACAATTATTTACAAATACCATGATCGAGTCTCTATTAATTACTCTATTAGTCGATATACGTGTCAACGAATGCACGAGCACCGATCATCTTCGTCAAAGTTATACTGAAATCATAATTATTCCTTCTTTTGTTTCCTTCCTTCTTTCTCTCCCTTCCAAACCACTCTTCCCGCTTCCACTTTCGTTTTCCTCGATTTTTACTAAACCTTGCCCATTATCACAGATATAAATAAATGTACTCTTTACAAAACAATGTACAATTTCTCCCTATCGATCGCGTTCTCACTCTCATTCTTGCTTAATCCTCTTGCGAACCCCGCCCTCCCCACCTTGCGTTCTTCCTCTCATGCATCTGTTTCTTTCTTTCCTTTTTCACGTACACACATTTGCCCATATACATCAAAGTACAAAATGATAGTCGTTTCTCTTTTATTACCAGTCCTCCTGCTCTTGCACCACCTAGTCTTTTATTCCACTTTTCATTCTTCGCCCCGGGACCACTACCAATGATCGGACTCTTCGAAAGGAGGGATGACTTATGCGATAATATAATATAAAAAAATATCAACAATCTCGAGCACCGCGCACCTTTTTTCTCACGTTTTTTATTTTTATATTACTTCATCTCCTTTTTCCATTCTCTATTTAATTGATCCAGCGACGGTTTTGCATTTATTAAAGAAAAAATTCAAGAATAAGACAAAAACTATAGACTTCGTTGCACACGTACATTCGGCACGTAATTGCAACTCAAGCAGGAAACCATCCCCCATTTAGGCCCAAGCAGGGTGGGGTGCGCGATCACGATTAACTTAATATATCGATCTAAAACGATGTATGTACAAATACGTATTGCACAGAGAGACGGTCAAAAGTGACGAGGATCAAGTACGACGCTAATCGATGAGGGCATCGATTCGCATCGTCGAATTCTCGTGGCGTCCGCGTCCGATGGGAGCACGATTCGCGGATCGCGAGAGCAGCAAGCGGTATTCGTGCGAGGAAGGATGAATCTTTATTTTTAATTAGTTTATCATTGGTGCTACCTGTCTCTTCCCCTCCGCAGCCCGTCGACGAGAACTGCGCGAAGATTGCGCCAGGCGTTCTCGATTTTAAATCATAGCTGCACGTGGATTAAACGTATCGCGTCGACGAAATTTCCGATGATTTCGATGATCACCTGTGCAGCTCGCGAACAAGAGAATTACTTAAAACTGATCGGTTAAAGATAGAGGAACGCCGACGCGGTCCGCATGCTGTACGTCCTTCGTCGAACGTTTATTTCCAATGGACAAAATCGAGGAACACGGGGAATATTCTTACTAAGAAGATTCCTCCTTGAATCCTTGTAATTTCTCTTGTCGATTGACTGTAAATCGGTTGTCCACCGCTGTTCGGCACTGAGCGGTTGCTACCTTTGCACGTTGCCCGATTGGATCTCGCGGATTCTTGACTTATGGAAGTGGCAAGCTCCGCGAAACGAGAAAAAAAAAATAAACTCATACGGGTACGTAGATCGAAACAATTCATCTCTTGCATCAACGATCTACATACATATGTACAAAACGACGGCTGATCCTCGACGCGTTTACCGTTCGTTTGGATCGTCGACTGAGTCTTTAGTTTATTTACAGAATCAATAAATCTCCCGGTTAGAATACGCGCGCGGAACGATCGACAACGAGGGATTCGTTGATCAAGGAAAACTTGCGAAAAACCGGGTAACTTGAAGCTGGACTTAGACGATGACGACGTTTCGTGCATCGGAATTCTTTTAAAAGAGGATATACCGTTTCTCGGCGAAATTCTCTAGAGCACCGTCGATTCAGCGCACGTCTTCTCCTCGCGGGTTGCTTCCATCCTCTCCTTCCGTTACGTACTCGTGCGTATAAGCAGGCACTTCGACGTAATTCCCCTAATTCCTAAATCTTCTTTAAGCCAGTGACTGGCGCCCGGGCGCGCGCGCGTGCCACGGCCGACTACCATTCGTCTTTCCCACTTCGCGAGGACGATTTATGTGTATCTCAAGGACGAATCCCCATTTTCCGCTTTCTTTCTCCCCGTTCCAGAGGCTCTTTCGTTCTTCCTCTTTTGCATTTCGCCTTTTCCGTTCCTTGGCCTCGTTCCATCACATCTTCGTCTTCTTTTTGCTGGTTGCGCTTCGTTCCTTTTAATGGATCGGAGACCTCGCGTTAATAAGTTCCAGGACCTCTCAACGGCAAATATTTACAATCTGGTCGCGGGCCCTTACAACCTTCGCTTCATCCTGCAACAAAGAAACGAACATCGCTTTAATTTAGACGCCGCGTTTTCCTGTTAGTCGACGTGCATGTATGAGTTAAACTAAGATTTTTATCTCCTCTTAATTTCTCGACGAATGTTAAGAGAACGTACGCTGGTAAGGAAGTACGACCGGAATAGATTCGTCGGTTCAATGGCTTTATCGGTGTCAGGTGATTGATTAAGATTGAATGACGCGGGTAAGTGCACAAGATGTACGATACATTCATCCCCTATTTATTTCGAAAGCTTCCCTGTTGACACTAGTAAATATCTTAAATTAAACGCATAGTAAAAAATAAGTTTCTGCGAAGAAGAAATAAGATACAAATATACGTACACTTACAATTAAACAAATTCAGTAATACAAACATACGTATTAAGTAGTATAAGCTTGTATCTAGGTTCAAAGTTTCATATTAACGATGTCTATCATTGCGACATGTATTTTGTCGATGGAAACGTCGAGTTCTGCGGCCGATTACGGCCAGCCTCGAAAATCGTTCTCAGGTCCAGACGATTAGGCGAATCCGATAACCACGGCAATAACGGTCTTCGTAATTAGATCAGCGTCCAACGGGCAGGCTAACCGGTCTCCATCGATGCCCGCCATCGGGCGCAAGATTCGCGAAAGTATCGTTCGCGTACTCGTAATCGGACCTATTACCTGAGTGGTTAGATCGCCACCATCCGGGCTGGCACAGTGCGCAATCGATACCCGATTAACTCCTCATGAATTGCTTTTCGGTTCTCCGATAGCTTTAATGTTTCAAAATATCGTTGTTTCTGCATTTGACGCGAAATTGTACAAACATATACATTGTACGCTTTCCCCTCTACTACCGAATACGTATTGTCCGATTGTACATCAACGCCTATAAAAATGCGTGATCTTCAACAATAATCCTCACTGTACGCCCCGCTACTGCTAACTTGCAACACAATAGAGCAAACGTAGCTAAATAGAGAACTCTTACTCTGCCGCAAAATATACTCTTATTTTTGACATGTCTTGATAAATAATTACCAATATAATTTCGGATTGTGTACCTTTATATTGTATTAATATCAGACCACGTGAGACCATGTGAGAAGCGAGCTAGTGGCGAGCAACTCAAAACGATTCCCGACCTACTTTGTTTGTGCCACCGAGGGGATTCGAACTTCGTTCCGTCAAAATCTCTTCCATTCTTAACGCACTTGGCATCCACACATGCAGAAAATGAAATTTTCATAACACGAGACCGAAAAACACCATTGGATGGACCGGAAATACAATTTTCCCACCCTGGGGCGGGTCAAATGCAATTTTACATATATCTATGAATATGCTGTATATATTTACCTATATATATACACATGTATATACTTATATATACATATATCTACTTACATACATACATGTGTATACATTCTTTTTTTTTAGTGTTTTGCTACGCTTCTTACATGTGCGCGCACAACATTCACTTAGTCTGATGTTCCGAACGGCTCGTGTTCCGAACGGCTCGTGTTCCGAACGGGCGCCCGATCAGATCGTGTACAATTGCATTTGACCGTCCCAGGGCGGCAAAACTCTACTCTATTTTCGGTTTTTCGGTGTCGTGTTATATAAAAAATTTTTTGCATGTGTGGATGCCAAGTTCCCCGCGGTGGCACAAACAAAGTAGGTCGGGAATCGTTTTGAGTTGCTCGCCACTAGCCCACTTGTCACATGGTCTCACGTGGTCTGATATTAATAACAGTATATTTTGCGTTCATTTAATAAAATTTAATCGATCATAATTTTTAAAAACATGCTTTTAATTTTCAATTCTTACTTCAGGTTTTACAAACTTGCCTTCGAAAGATTCTACGTATTTTTCTTTTAATTTGAGTATTTAACGAGTTACGTATGATCNCGTCGTCCTCTACAAAATGGTCCTAAATAGTATCCCCTAAGTCCATCCGTTTGGAAGTTATGGGCAAAAAACGAAAATTTGGAAGAAATTGAAGGGGTACCCCTTGGAAAAATCTCGGAAAAATCGAAATTTTTTTTTTGTTGTTTATTATTAGCTATATTCTTCCGACGTCTGATTTCTTTTTAAAAAATGCGTTTCTAAAGTGCATAAACGTTTGTGATTGACTGTACAGCCAATACATCCTTAATAATTTGTACTGATCTTCATTGAACGATATTTCATTTATCTAATTTCTTAAACCCCTTTTCACTCTCAAATCTCATCTCCGATTTGTTAAAATGTCTATTGTATATGACCCAGTAAATTCGAGTGAGATCAAAGGACAATGGAAACGAATTGCTGCTGCGGGTTTCCACAACCGCCGCTAATGTTAACAGGTTGTAAGATTATAGTTAACTACCAGCGGGCAGCGTTGCGGTAGATGGCAAGCAATAATACATGTCGTGGGTATCGATATGCGATTACTAGCATGCGTCTCAGTTGGACAAGCGGTGGTCGATCGCCATGACCGATACCAAGAGATACCTTCTTACCTCTTCCCTACGAGTTATACAAGAGAAGAAGGGAAACAGTTTCATGTAGCAGCAAACGGGACGTCGCTAATGTTCCTCGTCACAGTGTATATCTACGTCGATCGGTTCTACGTGTAGAGCTTGCTACTCGTTATCATCGTCTAGCGATTAACAGATAAACGCATTGATAAGCAACCTCTATTTTAACGTTTGCATGCTTTGTATCCCAGCTATACATATGTATAAGATACGTCAGTCTCTGTTCTATAATATTTAATTGAATAAACGTTATCTAAATTATATACACAAGACTTTAAAGAACTTTATTTTATTATACTCAATGAATTATGTTATTTCTTATTAATTAATTCTGTCTACGAATAGAATTTATTCGCAATAAAAACAGGGAACATTAAAAGAATGTAGATACCAAGAACAGACTAGAGATGGATATGGGATAGGCGACGGAAAAACGTATAGGGTATGAGTATAACATGGCCGTTAGCGATTTTATGTATGCTAGCGTCGCGACGGATCGACATTTTACACGGCCTATCGATACGCGATTACTGTGTCTCACCTACCGGACAAGGGTGTACGTACGTGCGCTGCCATGATCGCACCGGCCGATAGAACCGCTACCATCGTCGCACACGGAGACTTTGTGCACGCTTCGGATGAAATGTCGTCGCTTCTTCGATACAGATAGAAACCGGGCCGATACGAATCGATAGAAAGCGTTAGGGCACGACGAATCCAACTACGAGTTTTAGCACGAAGGAAGCTTAGACACGAAACAATTTAAATACTCGACATAATAAATCGTTCTGATACTAAATTGAATTCTAAATAGTAGATTTAAAATCAAATCAGTAATACAGATAATAATTTACAGGCCTCGCATAGGTAAGTCACAAAAAATGCTCATGCAAGATTGAATTGTTGAAAAAAAAATATATATTTCAAAGAAAAATCTAGTTTGCAGGCAGCAAAATGGTTACGATCACGACGTTGTCCATTAAAATTACCCGGCACCGGAAAAACAATGATCCGGATACGGAGGTATGATCTATGGGGTTTTCACTGATTGTTGCCGTGGCTGGGCTCGATTAAACGAGACGCCGTGTACCCATTTGTTGAACATTTCAACGGCGTGTGACAGTGGCCGAACGACGCGACGCGGTTCGGCGTCCGAAACGAATATATTTCAAAGCGCCACGGGGGCTATCTGTCCGCCCGGCCCTCGCCGCACCTCGCCTCTCTTTATATTCCCAGATAGAGTAGTACTCTGAACTCTCGTCCAGCCCGGTTCTTCACCGAGCCGCGTATAAACCGAAATGACGCGAGACCGGATGACGAATGCCGCGCGATTACGCTACAAGTCGCTCCAAAAGATCCACCGAGGCCGCTTCCGCGCGTTTAACAAACGCCATACGAGTTTTTGCATCAATCGCTCGGAGAGTCATGATGGCTCTTGACTCTTTAAATTCGAGCGATAAGAAATAATTGCAGGGAGATTAGTCTTCTTGTGTCCGACCGCGTGTTACATTTCTTCTCTGCATTGATATAATATGTCGAATATAATTCTGAGTTTGTGTATATTCCAGAGCGTAAATTTCATTGAATTTATCTTTTCTCCATAATTATGTAACAATTACTATTTGGAAAGATCGAGGAACCCAACGAGAAAGCACATATGATTTATTAAATATTGAATTGAAATGGAACGTTCTACCTACAAGTGTAAACTCTTTCGCATTGCCTATTGAAAACCGATTGTTTCTTTCTCCACCGTTTTGCGTATGCAATAAAGACAGGTTGTTTCTTGACACAAAGGGACAACAAGCGCATGTATTTTTCATCTATATGAAATTCATCGGACACCGGACACGATGTCGGTGCCATGCGAGTGCGGGTTCGTTTATTCAAACGCGACAGAGGTGTCCGGGGGATTTGCCGCTGCTCCTCGTGCTTGCCAAGTCCGAGGGAATATTCATGAACACCGGTCGCCCATGAATCGACGAGCAAGAAGATAGGTACGCGCATACCACCTAGAGGAATTCCGGGCTTTCACGCCGCGCCGAGAGCCTCTCTGGCCTTTCTAAAAAACGGAATTTCTCTGCTCGCCGAAACGATATAAGCGAAGTACCAAGCGGAACCCGTCGCTTCTGATATCGGGTTCTTGTAATTGCGATCCTTTTAATACCGACACGGCGCATCCCTTGTGATCGCGACAACAAACCTGTTTACCCGTTCTCCATTATCTTCGACACGGAAAGCGACGTTACGAAACGCTAGCAGTTAGTCTCTCGGATGTGCCATCTGTTTCCTCGACACTCGAATTTCAGCATTTTATAGCCGATACGGAATCTTTTAATTTATGAACATTTTTTTATTGCAAAAGAAGATAATAAGGATTAGGAAAAAACAATATTATTCGTTCAATTCTCTTTACAAGTAATAAAATAATAATTAGAGTTAAAAGATTGGAATTTGGTCAATATACGTTCGGCCGAGATTCAGAACTGTATTGCTCGAAGCTATAAGATTCACAGGAAATGCGCGTGACCGGTATCTCGAATTTTTTCCATTTTCACGTGCTCTCCCGTTCCTCGATAGCCAAGCCAGGATAAGCTGGATTAAGATCTCACGGCTGACAGGGAGAACGTTCTCCTCTCGCCCTGCGAAGACAGTAATTTACGCGCACAATCGGGACGCTGATCTCGCGGCTTCCGTGACAACGGGCAACGTTACTCGACGCGATGCGTCGTAATTTCACGCGAAAAACATGGGACAGGGGTCACGCCGCGGAGGAACTCGTGAAATCGACACGTGCGGCAACCACGGCGACAACCGCCGGGAGAAACCAGGCCGGGAACGATTCGGCGCGACGATAAAGCGAATTTTGAGTGCTCGTTACACCTCGGATGCAACGACGCAAACTTAAACAGCCGGTTTGATGGAAAACCGAGAGAATAATTGCCGTGTCGTCGCGTTATCTGTCGCACGGTTCCGCTATTATTTTGCATGCATGGAACGAGGGTGTAAATTACTAGTACGAAAGATCGTGAAATTGATCCACGGGTGTATTAGCTGCTGTCGAAATTGCCGGATGTACCGTGTTTTCCGTAAGATTTTATCGACATTCCGTTTGATAAACTCGGGACAACGTTTGGGCTGCTGCTCCATACGACGGTGTTACTTACTGTTTAATTGTATAATTACAATAACCGGGGAACCGTATTTACGTGGCAGTACATTTTCCGGGAAGATGGTACGCGATTAATTGACAGCGGAACGAGCGTAATTAGAAATTACGACGATAAGCTCCGTGGAAAAGGTTGCGTGAGCTCATTTCCAAGCTGGAAACTCGACTAGCGCTATATTGAAAATACTGAGAGAATTATGAAGTGATTCAAAAAAACCGACGGGACGTATTTTGTTCTAACTCTTTTTGCTTGTGGCGCATCTTTCACCATAATGTCCAACGTCTACAATGATTTCCGTAAAGTGGAAGAAGAACCGACTGGGGAGGTTTTAGCAGGTTCTCCGGTTACGCAGGTAGCCAACGAGTCTGAGACTTAAATCCGAGCTACCGTTCGCATGCTTAAGAATCTCACGATCAACGTCGCGGTTGCAATAAAGCTGATGCCGCGATCGCGGCCAAAAGCTGCTCGAGGACAAAGGATCTGAGTTCTTCTCAAGTTGAAAGCATTAGGTAAATGCTTGCCAGGAATTCCAGAAGCTCTTTCAAGAAAAATAGGAAGTCAAATAGAAGAAAGAAAATACTACTACACGAAGAAAATTACATCTGACGTAACTGAGTTTAATTTGAGAAATGCTATTATTGAAAAGATCTTCTCATTAATCTCATAAATTAATATAATACATGATGGACTCGTAATTAAGATGTGATGTCGATTGGATTTTAGATCATTGAATAATGAAAGGAATATAAAATTAAATTTTGAGACATTGCAATTAGAATCCTAAGTTTATGCAGAGCTCGTGGCCGGAAGGGGATTCGGGTGTTCGAGGTCAGACCAGCGCGGCTGGATCGGATCCGCAGTTCACCGCTCGGCCTAATGGCAATTAAATATCCACGGGCTAATTGGCAATTATAGACCACGGGTGTCGTCTTGCGTCCTTGCCTTTCCATGCTTTGACTCAATCCTCTTCCTCCTTCCTACGACTGTCTTCGAGGAGAACGAACAGAAGAGAAGGGAAAAAAGAAAAGAAGCGAAGGTGTAAACCGGCAGGTAGGTGCAACAAGAGGCGCTCTCTCGTACGATCTGGAGCTTATTTCGTCTACCTGGCTCCCTGCAGCCATTGCCGGAGTTTCGTTTTTTGGACGAGCGCGAGAGAGGAGCGCGTTATAACCGAAGCGGGCAGAGGCCACGGGGTCCCGAAAGGGTACGCGGGGCCAGGGGCGGGATCCGAGGTGACGACAGCGAAAACTAGTTTATTTGGGACGCGGCTATAAATTAGGGTCAGATCGCCACGCGATAAGAGTACCGGCTAACACCCGGTTCCCCTCGAAGGTAGCTTCTCCTCTGATCTCTCCCTGCGTTCCTCTCCCTCTCGTTCCTCACCGACTTCTTTCACCTGGTCGAGCTTTGAAGAGACGAAGAGGAGAAAAGGTCCTTCCTCCGCTACACCGCGTCGCTGTATCAGTCGTCGCCTAGTCATTTCCCAAGTCGACTTCTCGTTGGGCGTTACGTGTCCGTCCACTCTATCGTCTCTATCTAGTTGAACGATGCGGGAAAGTTTCGAGCTGCGCGACGCTAATTGATACAACCCATCGTTTCCCCGTGAAACTTAAATAATCGAAACGTCGACGAAGCAGAAGTTCTCACTGAATAATGTTCGCATGTAATTGACTGTCTTTCTCTCGACCTGAGATGCGAATCTATATTGGCGTGTCCTTTCCTCTTTTTATTTCTAGAAAACTGGTCCCGTCGAGTTTATAACGTTGACGAATCAGATAACCCCGAATGGGACGATACTTCTGAGATTCGCGACGAAAGAAACCAGCTAACAATTGGAGTAGAAAAAGTTTAAAGACGAAATTTCACTTTTTCTTATTTTTACTAACAACTCTCGTATCTTCTTCTTATAACCAGGGACAGACATCTATTGAATTTCAATCTCCATTATTTGTGTACGTTCTTGTGTTTCTATCACAAGAAACGAATACGACGTATAATAGGAGAAGAGGAGGGACAGGTATTTTAATCTTCTAATTGGCTTCAAACTGGACCACAAAGTATCCAAGCTCGTGCAAAAAGGTTATAAAAAATACCAAAATCAACTGCTTTTTAAGTAAATATACTAAATTAATACGAGGAATACAGAGAGATACATAAAAAAAACTATGAACGAGTTTCATTCGCGTATAGGGCATTCGATTCGCGACCAGATACGCGCACGAGCCAAACGGTCGATCAGAACGCGACAGGTTGAGGTGAACCTGGAAGAGTGTAACACGATGGTGTTCCACCGTAAGGAACTCGCAGGGAACTCACAGTGAGACCCACTGAGAAGAGTATGACCACGGTAACGCAGTGGTCCTCGCGCGCGAGAGAAAGACACGGTCAGAGCCAGTGGTGATTCCATTCACTGATTGAAATCTCCGTCCATTTGTCACTGTCAAGGAGGTGGCGATAGCCTCTCTCTTCTCTCTGGTTCTCTTTCTCCGCTCGTCCGTTCTCTACGTTCACTGCATCGGTCGAAAGCGTGGCCCGATACACGATGCCATTATTATTTCAACGACCGCTACTCTCCGACTTCGTTTTAACGACCAATCAACGCGTCGGATATTAATTTCTTATCGATAGACCTGATTACCTGCCGCGAAGAACCCGCGATTGCAACGGACGTCATTCGCGAAGCGATTACGCGCCAGTAAATACACCTTTTCCCTATTTGCCATGCGAAATGAATTACGATCACGCCTTGTTCAAGGCGGACGCCGCAATTACGATTTGTCATCGGACAGGCGAGAACGCGAGTCGTAATTTTTCTTACATTCAAACCGGACAGTGATTCATTCACGATATTTCCTTTGGACGGGTATATTTTGTACGCGGAGTGTCTGACTATGCCAATCGAAATCCGATGGGGAAATAACGCAGCGTAGGTTTGAGAGAGTATCAGGTTCGTTATCATAAAAAGAATCGAGGGTCTGGAGTGTAGAAAGCGGATCATTAAGTTTCACTCACCTCGGATGACGCGATGATGATCCGGAGTTGTACCACACAGTTGTTTTTAGACCGGTGACACGAATCCGCTACCCATGGATTGCGATCTGTAATAAGAAAATCCAAACATCATCGTTATTCTCTACAATTACATTTATGATAATATCGTAATAAGGTATAGTGTTACGATATCAGAAATAGAAATTGAAATTGAATGCCTACCCTTTGTAGAACGGTTTGAACGCGGTGGTAGCTTCCGTGGGAGGCAGACTGGCAGTAGTTTGGTGTTGATGTAGAATGGAATTCTGTCCGGCCGGTGAGAAGTCTTTGTGCGGAGAGGCCTGTAGCCTGGAGCTGAACGAAGATCCGCTGCTGACCGAACCGGAACTCGTCGACAGGTAACCGGCGGCCGCGGCCGGGTGACTCGGCCCGTACGGATTTGGATTACCGTTGGTCTGACCGTTGCCGTTGCCACCAGTGCAGTAACCGCCCGGTGGTGCCTGGATCACTCCATTCGGTGTAGCCACCTTCATGTTGGGCGGTGTCTGAGGTGGAGTGTCCGTACCAACCTCGGGAAACCCCGCCGCCGCCGAGGAAGACGCGGAGGAACTCGAACCGGACGAGGAATTCGGGTTGTAGTGGAGTTGGCCGCCGGACGAAGACGACAGGAAGCCGCCGTATCTCGTCGCAGCGCTCGAGTACGGCGCCGTGGCGGCCGCTGACGGGCTCATAGAAGCTGACGAGGGCAACGCGAACGAGCTCAGGTTACCGCCCCCGCCTCCGGCGCCGCCCCCGCCACCTGAACCGAGCCAAGGCTGTTGGGAATGATGGTGATGCCCCTGGTTCGATAGGTGATGCTGTTGCTGTCCGTAATGCTGCTGATGGTGAAGGTGATGGTACTGTTGATGGTGAGGATGCGAGGGTGGCGGGGGCGTCTTGCACGCGGCCGTGTCCGCCAGCGACCAGATTTTCGGTTTAGTCGCCGGTATCGGGACGCCGGCAGCGCTACAATCGGACTTGATGCCCTCGTCCTTGAGGTGTTCCTCGCCAGGGTACGGCTGGTGATGGTGGTGGTGGTGCTGCATCGCGTGGTGAAAGGGATGCTCCCCCCGTCGCGGGTCCTCCTCGAGATCGAGGTCGTCCTCCTCGTCGAGGTCCTTGTCATGCTGCAAGTGCTCCGCTTTCACGTGCCTCATCGGCTCTGCAAACAGAACCGGGCCGCGCGTCAATTTACTAAATTGCCCGTTGAGCTTCAATGCTCAATACCGCCGCCGCCGCCGCCGCCGAGAGCACGAGGGTACTCATCGTCTCTGCCGCCACGCCAGGAAAAACGTTCCTTCGCCGGTCATAAACGCGAACACTCCTGGCCCGGTAAGCGTATATCGAATAAAACCGAGGTTAATAGCTCGTAAAAACCGTTCCTCTCTCTCTTTCTCGCCGGGGAGAGACGGAAACGGGCGGGGGGGTGGTGAGGTGGTAGACCAGACGGAGAGTTTTTCACGAAACTAATAGAAAATTCAGTACGGTCAACGATATCGCATTACCCGCGCTCGCTTCCCTCCGGTTATTTGGTCTGGACGCGATGTCAGAATTAATGGTTTATAATCCCTGGTGTGAAAGTGAGATCTACGCGAGAGTCAGACAGGGTCTGGGGTCTGTATACATATAGGTATCGTGCCCTCTGGGTAGCGAGGGTTCGCCCGTGCCGAGGAGGATAGATAGTCTCTCTTGCACCCTTATACGGTTAAGCTGTAAGGGATGCTGTGAAAAAAGGGAGCGAAGCCTTCAACCACTTTGAGGCGCGAGAGATTTTAGTTCCCCCTCGAGGCAGAGAACACCGAGAGGGAGAAATAGGGAAGCTGTATCCTTTTTCCCCATTTTCTCTCTCTATCTCTTAGACCGGTCTGCTTCCCTCCTTGTTTCTCTCTACTCTCTCTCGGGGCACTCTAGGATCGTCCCAAGCGTCTGCCAGCTAGCCAGCCAGCCAGCCATCGGAGCCAAGCCAGCCAGTCAGTCAGGGGTGAGAATTTCATTAAGAGGTTCGAATGAGTCGGCAGAGGGTTTACTTGATGGGTCGTCAAGCGATAATTCCCAAGCTAGAAGGGGTCGCGAGAGGGTAGAAACAGAAATGGACGGATAGATCGAGGGATGACCGAGATGGAGAAAGACGGTGATAACAGGAGTAGCAGAGAGTTTAGGTTTAGGGTGCATTCGCCCCCTTATAGAGGGAACCTTATGGGCCAACTAAATAGATACCACCGTCGAGTCCACAAGTGGCTCTTTAACTTTTGACCCCCTTTTATCAGACGTTAATCTCATAATCTTCGCGCTGTATCCTGCCGCGTGCACCTAAACGTGATCGTTAATTTAATTTGAATACCCCTTTGACAGAAATTGTAACATCGCTCTTTCCAACGAAACTAGCCGGTTATTGTTGACTGTATCAAAAAAATCAAGTAGTCCACTCGAGGGGATCTTACGACGGTCCGTAGCAACCCTCGTACTCTCAAGTGACCTCTTCCCTTCAACGTTTCGCATGGAAATTCATGAGGGCCCTCTCTTGAATTTAGCAAACCACGCGACTCGTGTCTCGGTACGGCCCGACGAACAGTCCGAGGACCGACGATATGGAAACCACTTTTAGCATTCATGTGTTCAGAACAGGCGAACCATAACACACGAGGCGAACGTGGCCCGCCGCTGCGCGCCGTTTTACCCGGCCGATTCCTTCGCTGCCAATAGCCTCGAAGCGGAACGGGTAAATATATTCATACGCGATCACAAATCAACGGGAGGCCCGGAGGTAAGCGGCACGGCATGGCACTGGGAATAGAAAACAAATCGCTTTCGTACAGGCACCGATCGTCTCCTCTCTTCCACTTTGCCTTTCTCTTTCTCGATTTTCGGAGGACTTTAAAATTACGATCAGCATCGCGGAACGCAGGGCGTGTGACACAGCGCGACACCTAAAACGTCGCGAAATCCAAGGGAACGTAGCCCGAGGACCGAAAGGAAGAGAGAGAGTGAACGAACAGTGAAGCGGGAGGACAGAGCGGAGGACAAGAGCCAGAGGAAGAGGACACGAGGGACAGAGAGGACCGATATTGGCCAATGTGCGGTGGGGTAATGGTGGCCATAGGAGGGTCCGTACCATTCGTCTCGCCGCGGGCGCCGATACATCACCGTGCCTCGAACCACCACTCTCCCTCTCGTGTATCCATATACATCCACTTTGTACATATATGTATATATACGTATATATGTATGTATATGGAGCCCGTGGCGTCGGAGTGTATATGGTCCTACGGATGACTACTCAGCCCGGTCGCACCCTCCGCCTCTCGCTCACAGGGACACGCGCTCGGGGAGACGAACGTGCGCGCCGCAACCTGTACACGTATACATACAGTCAAAACGATAGGATTCATCCAGTTTTACGCATTTTTATCCCGGCCTCTTACAATTAATTATTTCGTACGAACAGAGATTATCTCTACATCGTATTAACGTTGTCTCGCTACATAAATTCAAGATTAAATCTCGATCTTAATAAAGTGTATAAATCCTCGCTTTTGCCTTCGACTGTGCGCACCCTCTGCACAGTGAGAGCGGCGAGATTGTGTGCGAGAGAGCGCAGCGCACCAATACCGAGGAGCAGGACCGCCCGGTCCACCGGGGGACCAAACCGAAGGCCATTAATCTCTTTGCGCGGCAACCCGCAACCCGTCACTGTGTTTACCCACATGTGAACCATTATGTCCGCCTCCGCGATATAGAGCCCGACACACGGGGCCGGTTTCACAGCGAATTTCTAACTCGCCCGTTTCCGGCCGTTGCGTTGGGCAAAATGCCTGAATAAGTAGCCCAGTCGACGACTGAACGATGGACCCACCGGCTCTTTCGATCGACTTTGTTCTCGCCGAGAAATAGTAGCTCGTTTAGATAAATTAATTTACAAAATATTTAAGACTGTAACTACAGTAGTCTTCGGATATATGGCCACTTTTTTCATAAGTTTAAGCAAATTTTATTTTATGACACATTTGTATATAAGTAATTTTTTTAAAAATAAATCTATTAAAAAGATTAAAATGGTATTTATCCTAAAGAGGGATTCGAGTCAAATCTTAGAAGTCCCGTTCTCTTAAAGATCTTTGTGGACAGTGTCGCGGAGCGGTGCAGGGTGATGTCTCGAGTACGGTTATTGTTCCGTGGAATGGATGCTTGCGCAATATCAAAAACGCCGACCGATGCCTATTCGATACCGAAGAAACTAGTCACGCGAGTGCACGGTATACACGCCATACCGGCATACCGCACGAGAGATCGCGGTAGATATTGGCCACGTTTTCGCGGCCGGGTTCACCCGGCTCGAGTGCCATTGTGCTCGCAACAACGGGTATGTACATACGTACATCGGGACATCGATAATTGGCCCCTAATGGCGGTGCTTCTTCAACCGATTCGAGACGCGGTTGTTCCGCGAGCATTCTTTCAACGCGAATGCATGCACGACTTCATGGATTACTGCATCCCGTGCCGTTACACGCATGCAAGCTTATCGACTAAACTTGGCTACCTCGCATAAAACTAGTTGGGGAGAAGTCCAATTGCACTTTTCGTAGACAGTTCGTATTTTAATAGGCAACGAATCGTTTGAAGTAATTAGAAGCGATCTGGTATAATGAGTCGCGTAATTTGTCTTGTTTTTCGTTTAATCATCTCTCGACAGCTGATTCCGTTCGTCTAACCTTTAGTACTCCAATTGTGTCGAACAGAGGAGAGAGAGGCTTAATTCGAAGTCGCAGAATCGAAGAAGGCGGAAGTCATGAAGAGAAAAATGACTCACCGTTCTCCTCGAGTCCTCTCCTCGCCTCCTCTCCGACTCTGTCGCCTTGATTGTCGCTCGCCAACTCGTCCTTCTCCTTATTGTCCTCCGAATCTGTTAGGACTGCGTCATCGTCGTCGTCGGTCTTGTTCTTCGGCTCCCAGGTCATCTTGTTCTCCTTCTTAAGGCGTCTTCGCGCGTTCGCGAACCAAGTCGACACCTGCGTCAGCGTCATTTTCGTGATGATCGCCAGCATTATTTTCTCGCCCTTTGTCGGGTACGGGTTCTTCTTGTGCTCGTTCAGCCAGGCCTTCAGCGTTGCCGTAGACTCCCTCGTCGCGTTCTTCCGCCGCGCTGCCAAATCGTATCCCGCCCCGTATCTGCAACAGTTGCTTTTTTTTTTTGCAAATTAATCAAAAGTAATACTGTTGCAGTTTATATTCGTCATGAATTTTATTAAACTGGGAAAATGTATAAGAAATAGAATTGAATATGGAAACGCGTTCAGTAAGTTCGTTAGATGCAATTATAATCAAATAAAAAAAGAATTCACGAGGTGGTAATCCATCCCATAAGAAGCAACCAATCTACCTTTCCGATAGCAAAAACGTGACCATTGTTCAACATTTGTCGACTGGAGCCACTCCACTCGCAAAGTGGCATCCTGTCGAGGGTGCGAATTCCCCGCAGATTTTGGCGAGTCCAAAGTGCTTGGGTGCGCTCTCGAGACACGAAGAAAGAGGAAGAGCGAGAGAGACAGGGAGATGGAAAGAGGGAAAGAGAGAGGTATAAGCTTCCTAGATTCATTCCCCTGGCTGCAGGCTGCGCGCCGGAGCATCGAACCCTCCGGGATAGGGGGCGACATCCTACTGGATCGAGGGTGATACTCCGGCAAATATATACGGAGAATAAACCCCCAGCGGCGGCGTGATTCCATCGAGCAACCCCGCCACTCACTCGCCGTAATGGCGATTCGATCGATCCCCCACTCTTCCTTTCCCCGGAGTTCACCCGACTCGCTCCTGTTTCTCTGCCACCCTCTCGCTCCGTCTCCCTCGCTTAACCACCCCCGATGCCCTCCCTTGTCGGGCAATGCGCTCCACGCGAGCCTGTTATAGGTATGTAGCATTGTATACTGTGTAGGTAGCCTAAAATACCTATCGACGATCCATCGGCCGTGGAGGGTTCGCGCTGCCGATGGCGGGTAGTGGTAACGCTGTTCGAGGCGGTGGTTAACGGTGACATTGTTAGCCGAAGCGTGACGTAGTCTGACGGGGTACAAGATTCGGTACTGGGAATAAAGGACCGAGAACAGTAGATCGGCGAACGATTAACGGAAACCCTTGGACGATATAGATAAATCTATTTTCCTGTTCGAATTTCACAGTTTTTTTTAAGTTGTAAATAATAATTAATGCTTATCTGAAAGGTGATAATGGACGCGGAACAACTTCGAAATTTTCGAGAACAGGAACTTCCCTTACGAGAAATTTTTATTGCAAGTAGTAAATTGATAAAGCAGATATAAGAATGTATGTGTATATAAACACGATTGCTGGAGTTTGAAACACGGTCCAAATGTTTACTGCCTGACTGTCTTTTTCGACGGGAATCTATCCTGTTTTACGCCCTCGCTGGACGAGATCATCAACCGATCCTTTCTCTTCTTACAGAGACGCGAGTTTATTCGAATGGAGACGTTTTCCCGGGGACTAAATCGTGTTTTATGATCGTAGTCCTATACGACCGATTCCGTTCGGTCGGGACCCGCGACAAATGGACTGATGAAATCTTCTGTTCGGGCGTACAAGTTTAGGCGTGATCTAATCTCGGGCTCTGGTCGTCACCGTTCCGAAAATATTGAACGCTTCGATTCACCAAACTATAGTATTTATCGACGATCCATCGGCCGTGGAGGGTTCGCGCTGCCGATGGCGGGTAGTGGTAACGCTGTTCGAGGCGGTGGTTAACGGTGACATTGTTAGCCGAAGCGTGACGTAGTCTGACGGGGTACAAGATTCGGTACTGGGAATAAAGGACCGAGAACAGTAGATCGGCGAACGATTAACGGAAACCCTTGGACGATATAGATAAATCTATTTTCCTGTTCGAATTTCACAGTTTTTTTTAAGTTGTAAATAATAATTAATGCTTATCTGAAAGGTGATAATGGACGCGGAACAACTTCGAAATTTTCGAGAACAGGAACTTCCCTTACGAGAAATTTTTATTGCAAGTAGTAAATTGATAAAGCAGATATAAGAATGTATGTGTATATAAACACGATTGCTGGAGTTTGAAACACGGTCCAAATGTTTACTGCCTGACTGTCTTTTTCGACGGGAATCTATCCTGTTTTACGCCCTCGCTGGACGAGATCATCAACCGATCCTTTCTCTTCTTACAGAGACGCGAGTTTATTCGAATGGAGACGTTTTCCCGGGGACTAAATCGTGTTTTATGATCGTAGTCCTATACGACCGATTCCGTTCGGTCGGGACCCGCGACAAATGGACTGATGAAATCTTCTGTTCGGGCGTACAAGAGTTTAGGCGTGATCTAATCTCGGGCTCTGGTCGTCACCGTTCCGAAAATATTGAACGCTTCGATTCACCAAACTATAGTATTCTGTTTTATTTCTTTCTCTAATATCTATTGTCTAATGTGCAATTGTTAACTTTTCAATGAATATAAAAATATTTCAATTAGATTATATTATTAGATTAAAGTCGAATGAAAAATAGAATAATTCTGATCAGAGGAACAGGGGAAAAGATGATCGTGTAATTCCGTTTCGAAATTCATCTGATCATTACTTGAATCCACATCCGAGATTGCCGATGGCCGAGCCGATGGGGATGAACAAGGCAGCGATCCCGAAGGAAGCGAGACCTCGTGCAACTTCAAGGACGTTTCACCCTCTATTAAACTCCCTCGGACAAGGGAAAGGCAGCCAGTGCTGCGGCTCTCGTAGGTCGTTTATAAAATCAGCCGCTTTTTTGTTTGTACCATCTCTGTCTTCCTCTTCTAACTCTCGTTCTCCCTATCAAGACGTCGTTTTCTTCTCCACTCGTTCGGAAGCGTCCGATCGATCGAGATTGTTCAAGATTACCCGGGTACGACCAGAAGAAAATGGGAGCGGTCGGTTGCTCTTTGAGGATCCACTGAAGTCGATCGAACAATTTGAAGGACAGGTAAAAAGAACGAACTATTGAATATTAGAACAAAGTCCATCGACGCTTTCCCATGAATCGAACCGGAGAGACAGAGAGTTACTATCTGAGAAAAGTTTCATTCGGGAAACTCATTGCACGTATCGATACCCGAACGCGATGCATCCACGGCCCGTGTCTTTATCTAGGAATAGGAAAACAGTTTAATATAAAGTTGTGGGCCGTTGGAAACGTGACGAGTCGTTCCGCGAATAGTCAGCCGGGGCGCGGTAGTCCTGGTAGGAAGTTAGAAATTGACAGGAACGGCCGCTGGCATGCCGCTTCTAGATTTAATCGAGGCGACGCGACGCCCGAGAACTCCCACCCTCCTTCATTGATATGCGCAATTTCGACTGCCTCCCACATACGCGCCCGCCACAGCGCAATTATCCACACGTACTCTCGCGAGCGCAACGTTGTACACATACACGCGTGTGTGTGTGTGTATGTATGTGTGTATCGAACCGCGATTTACATACTAAGTGTGCCGTTGCGTGTGCGATGCGAAGGATCGTCCGGACGTATCGAGCGCAATGCAATGCAGATGTGACAACGAACAGGATGGAAAGCTCGCGGAGGATCGCGTCTTGTAGTTGTAGGTATCTGCAAGGTTGGATCGGGACAGAATCTCGCGCGTAAAAGCTACGGGCGCAGGCTTGCGGGTTCGGGGGATTTGCGGAGGATCGTCAGGAATCCGGGCTGCGTAGGCTCCTCCTTGAAATCGAGTTCGCGATTCAGGTTTCGCGTTACATATTGAAGAGTTCCTGAGAATTCTCTCAATCGAGCTGGATTTGATTGAAATAAGATTGCAATTTCGAGATAAGTTCGGAGCATTAATGCAACTACGTATGTATAAGGGAAACTACAGGTTGTAAAGGGAATTTGAAAAAGGGGTATTCAACGTTACGTATCTTTTATTTTACCCACGATTTCGCCGTTCAGACGATTCCATCCGTGGCGACGCGATTGTGCCTTCGCTTTACTTTATCGTCACGAGGAGAGTATGGAAATTTGTAAAGGCGGAACGCGAGAGAGAAATTGCGAGGGGTTAGCGCAGAGAGGCGAGCGCCCGCGACGGGGGTGGGAAATAGCGGAAAAGAGAGGATATCGTCGAACAGCTCCGGTGGAGGTAATAACGACGCGAAAAGGGGGGCAGAGATAAGCGCGTAACACTAGACACCAGGGCCACTCGAGCGACTCATTAGGGGCTTTGCATATGGTGGCGTCAACCTCGAAAGGTTAACCAATATTGGCAGAACGCGCGTAATTACGTCCTCTGGCCTCGTACAGAGCCGTGTATACGTATAGCCTCCGATAGTTACGCCCGGTCCCGGATGTGCAAACGTTTCCTACCTACCTACCTACCTACCAACCAATCTACCAACCGACCGACCAACCAGCCAGCCAGCCAGCCAGCCAGCCAACCAACCGACCTACCTACTTTGCTTGCTTGTGCTTGCACCACGCAACCTACCACCGCGTCGAGTCACATCGCGTCTGTTACGCGCGCGCTGCATCCAACTGACCCGCCCCTTCTTCCTCATCCTCATTACTCTCTGAACCTCTTTTTGAAACACTCACATTTGCGACAACTTCGCCACCTTTCAACTAATCCAGAAGGAAATCGTACAAGCGACTGATGACTCGTCTTCAGCAAGTTCAAACTGTGATTCTTCCGCGTAGCTCAGATTGTCAACCTTGAACTTAAAAGAGAGGATACCAAGCAACTCTCAACACACATTAGGATTAACTTGTAATTATGAGATAAAAGATAACGATTACAACTCAACTTAGATAAATATTCACTTTGTTGATACCAGACGATAAAAACGAATCCTTATTAAGAATCTTGAATAACTAGAAGACTCATTTTTTCTTTCATTATACTCTAAATTCGTACATAGAATAATGTCGGATAAATCATTGACCTCGACTACTTGTTTTACAACCGAAGCCAAATGAATGCCAAGTAAATTCCATTCGACTTTAATATTCCATTCAATTAAAATCTGATACGATATAGTTAAATCAAATATTGATGACATGACGATGAAAACGAGTAGAAATCATTCATCATTCTGATTGTCGCCTAAACGGTTTGAAGACGCGCGAGAGTTCTCTTGCAGCAAACAGTACATATCGATCTGACTGCAGAACAAGTAAAGAAAAATCGATTCAAGCAACCGGTCGCGGATCCATCGCGGGAAAAAGCTCTCACACGTGCGTTTCTCCGTCCCCGTAGCAAACGTCTGTATCTGACGGCCAAATAAAAAGTCGTATTTCCTTATCAAGTGGGAATTGAGTTAGCTCGAGCCATAGGCGTTCGATGAGATCGCGCGATTTCATCGTTTAACGACCGCTTAATCCGACCGATTTTCTCTGCTGGTTCGACGGTAAAAGAAACCCGGCGATTTACTTTTCAAAGTAATTAGCGCGCGCCGAGGCCAACACTCCAGTCGAGCAACTGTGCAGAAATCAGTTTTTTGCAGTTTCTCGAGATGCTCTCGGAGTAGATCGACTGTGATTTTTTATTCAACGGTGTCACGGCCGCGGAGAGTCGAAAAGGATGGAATAACAGAAGGGCGAGGGTGTCGCGAGATCTTCGTGAAAAATGGCAGTCGCGGAATGGGGAAGCTCCGGAAGAGATCTTCGCGCGGCTCGCATCTGCGCCACTTTCGCTCGTTTCGGTAGAAATTGTACAACGAAATGGAAGTTGGGTAGAGATGTATCGAAGAGTAACGATAAGAAAAGTGTTCGCGTCTGGATATTGTAAAATATATTATGTACACAATTTATCGTAGTAATATAAAAAAATCTATTCCATAGGAAATACGAAAAAATCATGAATCTATCCTTTTAAATCGAACAATTCAAGATTGAAGTACTAGAAGAAATACGCTCGTCCACTTTTTTTTAATTACAATAAGGAGTAAACGTTTACAGAAGTGAAGAATAAAACGAGAGGAGTGAAACGAGTGAATCGAATTCATCGACATGGAAGAAAGAATGCGTCGGCGACAATTCGCAAAGGGAACGGCCGTCGGCGTATTTCTCATTTCCCGTAATCGGAGCATTCTCCCGTCCCAATCGAGCCTGCAAAACGGAGCTGCGGAGCACCGATCCCGGGACGAGAGTTCGAAGCTGAAAAGTTGGAGAGCCCGGCGCGGTGAAACAATAGCAGCTCATCGCCGACGACGAAAGTGACGAGAGAAAACAGGGGGCGAAGGGTGCGCAGAAAGGAGACAAATAGAGCGGACGTGGGGTGGACGTCGAGGGCAGAAGAGGGCCGCGGCGTATTATTAAGCAAGTAAATTAATAGAGGATCCGCGCGGAATGGTGAAGCGAGACTGCCTCTCGCCGTGCCGCCCGAGCGAAGAGGGTGAATATTCCACGATAAACAATGCCTACCTACAGAGAGTTCGGAGTTTTGTGCGAAGTCCTGTACACACGCGCTCGCTCGCTCGCTCGCTCGCTCGCTTACTCGAATCGGGGATCCTCCAGAGAAGGTGGAACGAGGTGGAGGAAGAGCAGGCGGAGATGTATGTGGAAGAGAGAATCAAACGCGGTGGCTGCGTGGAAGAGAGCGAGAACGAACCCGGGGGAGAACATGAACGAGCGTGAACCTGGTCTTCTGAAGAGAGGGAGACAGATAGAGAACTCGGCGTGTTTGTGTGTGGACACGAGGGTTGCTAAGCAAAGTAAGTAAAGCACCTGTGGGAGCTGGCTCGCTTTCGAGGGTGGAAGGAGGTCGCCGCGTTAGAGATGGAAGATGAGTGGGAAAAGGAAGCAGCGGGTGACAGAGAGGAACAGGGAAGAGGAGAAGAGAAGCCGCGAGAGAACGAAGGGCGAGAGAGAGAGAGAGAGAGAGAGAGAGAGAAAGAGAGAGCTGGGGCAAGTGAGGGAAAGAGGCAGAGAGCGGAGAGCGGAAAGTGGAAGGTAGTGGGAGCAAGAGGGAGAGAATAGAAAGAGGCCTGGCGAGCCAACCCCGGGAGGAAGCCAATCAATAAACTCACTCACTCGCTCTCCTACGGAGAGAGACCTACTGCTCTCCCTACGCTCGCGATGCGACTATACATATATACAGGCAACCTGGAAGCCTCCATTACGTACGCCCACTCGGGTGCCTACAGCCATTTTGTAACCGTTCGCCGTGCACGGTTTCCTCTCGAATCTTGGTGTCCTCTCATCCCTCTCAGCGAAAGCGGGAGGGAGATAAAAAAACAAACTCCATGACGAGAGAGCGACGCTCTCGCGGTAAGATCAAAGGAATCGGGAACGGGTCTCGGAGGAGATCTAAGCTCGATATTGGATCCTCTTTTGCGATTCTTATCGCGACGAACACGGGGCCCCTTTTCTCCTAATTATCGATCGAATCGAAACCTCTTCCCCGTGAAACGAAACACGAATGCATAACGAGGGACCGGCCACGAGAGAAATGTGTTTAAAAACCACGGTATAAAAGAAAAACGACGAGGGGAAAAAAGATGGAAAAGAAACGAGGATTTAGATTTATGAGGTACAAGAAGGAATCGAGAGCTCCCGGAGGAGGCAAGTGTTTCCAATTACGCCTAGCGTCGAAATCTATGTCAATGTCTCATTTTGTCAACGGCACGCGACACATGGTTTTCGAAAATAACCCTGCCCGTTCTCACGAAAGCCACTCCGGCGAAACTTTTCAACGACTGGAGCTACCTTTCCGACTCGCGTTGTTATACAGGTTACCGGGACGCTTCTTTTTCATCATCCTCGCGTAAAACGCTCTCGGGAAGAAAGTACATGCGTACAACACGACCTGGTTTATTTTTCTCTCCCCGTTCCACCGTCTCGCCCCCACTCCTTCAGCGGCGACAACGAAATTGCGGGTTTTTAAAAGCCGGCCTCGTGTTAACCTCGCCGGTTTTTATTTCCAGCATTTCTCGTGTAAAAGCGAAACGGACCTGCCCGATTCAGTGTCGTCGCTTCGCAACAAAGCGACCTTTTTTCACCGGTAATTTTAATCCCCGCCCTGCTCGATAAATAATCGTTTTCTCCTTCTGACAGATTTTGATATATCACCGGTGTATCGCGCGCGTATACCACGCGCGAGAGGCGAAATAAATTTCCGTGGTAAATTCGCCCGTCACTTTTTTCGTCCGCGCTGCCATTATTAATCAAAACACGGGAATCCGTGAACAAAAATACGCATCCCGGCGGTATGCGGACGGGGCTGAAAATACACGAGCGAATCGCTGGCAACAAAATCACTTACTCCGATACAATGCTTGCGGGTTACTTCGTCCCCAACGGCGGTGATACCGATCTCCTTTTTTCCTCGGCATCGATATTCCGCCACCGCATCCCTACAAGATGGAGCGCAAGGGTCCCCGTGTTGACAGAACCCTCGTAACTCTTATCCACGAGGCGCGGCAAGAACGAGCATCCGGTTTGCTCGTCACCCTTCTTACGGATTAATTGTCGCCTACCTCTGCCGCGACGGCGGTGCGCCGTTTTGTAAATATCGACGCCGAGGGGTGAACGCCGCGATTGAAACGAGAGTCAATGATGTCTTTAAAGGAAGGATAGAGACAATTCAAATAATTGCACAAGTGTGTGCAGGATTATTCCAGGAGGCTTTTAATGAAAGCTTAAAATAACAAGAATATATAGCTAATTTTAAGCTGGAAACATCGACTGGTTGCTTGAAATTGTTTATCATCGGTTATATCGAGGGAATGATGTTGAGGATTCGCGATAACGATAACCGTTGTTGGGTCTCTGGATGTGTGTAGCGAGTATGAGAGGATCGTGACTCTTGTTTTAATGGAAGCACTCGCGAACGGACCAAAGAGGAAAGCGAGAGCTGAACCACGCGGCTGGTGGTTTAATCTAATGGAGCCGAGAGACCATGAAAACCGGTAATAAACTTACCCGTAGGCGGCCAGGGTTGGATCGTAGGGGTAGTAACCCGTGGCGGCAGGTTGAAGGGCGGCTGTACCCCATGCGGCACCCATATCCGCCGTCATCCCCATTCCCGTCGTGTCCTTCAATCCGTACGGATTTCCCTGCAATCGAATAGTATAATTAATTACAAGCCCAGCTTGAAGGGTGGCGACGGTTTATTATTATGCACTCGATTAAAAGTTGGCGATTTCGACCCTTCGCAATTTACCGCCTAGGTAAACCAGCCATAAATTTAATAATAAACTGCGTTAAACTGTGTACGCGCCGTAATTAAATAATCGACAAGCTGGCCTCCACAAAAGACGTGCATGGAACGATTCTTCTGTAATAGATGAAATGAAACACGCGTTTTGTAGCTTGCAAAAAGAGTTTAATAAAAAGGATATTGCGCCGAGAATAAGGGAAAATTGCTGGCATTGAATTATTTATAATGCGGCGGGGAGGAAGCGAAAACAAGCCAGGCGATCCGTCTTCCACTCTCTTATCTCTTCGAGTACGAAGGTCAGTCGCAGGAACGTTTAAAGGTTGTAATGTTACATGCAGCTTTCTTGTAAACGCTGGATGCCATATGACAGCATAACACACTGACTTTTAAAACGATGATCGATGAACTACAAGCGACGATGGTTACGCCAAGGGTGAACGCATTGTCACGGTAAGACCTGCGCCCTCACGCGAGGGCTTGAAACAAACGTCGCCGTATTAAAGTTCGAGAATGCGCGTCATTTATGTATACGATCACGCGAATCCTTCGCGTATGTTAACGGAAATTAAAATCGTAACTAACAGACGGTTTATTTTTACCGCGCCCCGAACGTCGGTCGTCAGCTGGCCGAATCGCGTGAAGCGACTTATGTAAACGACCCGAATTAAAGAGCAACGAGCAATCCATCAACTAAAGCGTCGATTTCCCTGCAACCAGGTCACACGGATCAGTCAATTCATCGACGAGTGACTGATGATAATGGAGAATTGTACGTCGCAATTGAATGTATGCACATCGCGTTTGTCAGTTCAAACGATTTATAAACAGCGTAAAAATATGTCCTTTAAGAATTACGAACTGTTAACAGTTCGCTGAACACTGTCCGAAGGTATAAGGATCGGAAAAAAGAAAAGAATAGAAAGCGACGTTTAAGGACCGTTTTGAGGTGCCGCGTCGAGTTCGTCGGCTAATGGTGTCACAATGAGACACCGCTGGAGCCGAAGGAGGCTTAGAGAAACGTTAGGCGCCAGGAGGTTTCGCGTTACACAGAGATCGGCGTCGGACTCATTCGTCCTGCTTCCCTGGCTCTTAATTCCCGCCTGAACCATCCCCCACGTTTCGATTTCCGAATCCGCTCTGCCGGGTAGCTGCCTCTGTGGCCCACTGCGGCCGTTCCTTCGCTTCCCGTCTTTCTATTTCTTCGCTCACACGCGAAAGAGAAGCGAAAAGGGCACGCACATTTGTCCACCGTTACCATCTCTCTTTCTCTTTCTCTTGCTGAGCTTGCCTACTCTTTCCACGGAGGCGACTTTTAATGGCGAACCGCGGGTGGTCCAGCGTCGACGCCTTGGACTATTGTTACCCAGTACCTCTCAACCAGCGGTCGATTATACGACCGGTCGTGTATTAAGGTAGCAATAAACATGAGCTCGAATTTTCTGAACGCATTAGGGGGCCGACGAATCGGGTCTCGACTCTTAAGAACCACAACTTGACCTATTCCGTTCTAAATTGTTTTATGTGCGCTACTAAATGTTAGAAAATCGAGAATCAAACATTCACTTCTTTGTCAATAATCTTTTATATTCATGTTAGAATCGTACATAAGTAGTTACGAAGAATTGTTATATAAACTGACTTAGGATCATTATAATTGTTAATTTAAGAAAACTATGCACACAAAGATATAAAATGAATAAGTTCAGAAAGTGATTGCGTGGCTCTTCGTTATAACCCAGCGAAAATTATTCCGTGCCCTATCTATCGGCTTTTATATTTCATATGCGTCACAGAATTTTTTACTCGATAACGATGTCGAGACCGATTACCAACTAACGCATGCACGAAGGTCTGCAACGAATGCATCAAACGTTGAATGTGTTAGACGAGATAAAGAATTATTAAACAGGGATCGTCGCGCACCAATTTGATTATTGTTAGATTCTCGGCTAACGGGTTTAACGCATTTTTCAAAGATAGCTCCGAGCGATGAACCGAGGGTTATTATACATATTCGAATGTGTTTAAATGCGTGTGTATAAGCAATTTAATGTAAAAGCTTTAACTCATTTAAATGACAGTCAACAAATATAACAAATCCTTCACATGAATTACTGCTTTTTCATAAAAAAATTCCACTCGTGACAGCAAAATAGAATTAGAATCTAAACTCTTTTAATCCCTTGTCTTCTAATATACACGTATAAAATATGTAGTTGAGAGATAAAATTTTATAGCGCTGTTCTAAAATACTTCTACACGCCCCGAGAGCTTTAAAACACACACACGTAGTAATTAGCACATGCGAATCAGCCGCCGCGAAAGTTGATCGAGCACAATGCCGAACTTGCGCCAGTTCGATCCAGTGCGGTAGGACTGAAAAACGACAAAAGACTAACCCGACGGAAAAGTTGTCCGAATATAATGAAAGAGAAGGGAGGAGCGAGGTCTTCTCAGTAAAAGTTCGAGCTTCGACGATAATTAAATTAACGGTTAGCATGATGGAAGTAGGGAAAAGTATAGTATCGCCGCGTGGGCCGGCATTAAAGCCGTAGAGAGCTTCCGCGTGCGACGACAGCTCGTTGAAGCTTCAGAAAAAGACGTGCGAGCATCGTTTCTACGAGATGAGAGCGAAACCAGCGAGCCCTTATTCGAGAAACGTGATGTGGCCGACGCAACGGTCGCGTAATTTCTTTTATTTGGTTTATCCCCCGGCATGCCTTGGCGTTGAACAAGGACCACCGTGCTCGCCTTAAAGAGACCGATTTTTATTAGTTCCTTTATCGCTCCAGCTCTCGCGCCACCCACTTCATTCAATGCTAATCCGATTCTTATTATATTATAATGCTCGTCGAAACGACGACGACGCACCCCGCCGCGTTGCCTCGAATCGTCGGAAGCACGTGCTTCCTGCCTAACGATCCACCGGTATTTCTCTCTTCCTTTCCTTTACCAGCGAGAGGCACAAAGGGTCACGGGGTGAAACGAGCAGTGAGTAATGGTTATATGTAACGGGAAAAACTAAGGAAATTCGCAATGATTGCACCAAGTAGCTTCGCGTCCCAACCGGTGACCTTAATCGAGTCAGATTATTACGTAAGAATTTCGTTGTACGCTCGCCCAGTTAAGCAAGCGAGGAGAGGAAGAGCGTGTGCTCTCGAGTCGAGTGCCGAAACCGGAGGGGCTTTTATTTGACTTCCTCTACTTCGGATTTCGTTCTTTCCTGTGGCGCGCGCGACCGATCGTCGCGTGTTGGAGATTCGCGGCAGCCACTTGTTGTTACGCGAAAAACCTGTCATCGGATGGCAAACACTTCAGACGAGGGAACAATAAGTAAGGTGAATCGGAGAATTGACAACACGCGCGACACACGAAGGGTAATACATGTATTTGAGAAATTATTCGAGAAACAGATTCATGGTCTGCACCAGAACACATTTTATTCTGCGGTGTGTATTAACGCGTATTTATCACGGCCTCGACAAGATTGCGCGTTAGACTCGATACGTGTTACTAATCGCTTCACCCTTTTCGGATAAGACTAATTTACGAGGCAGGTGACGACTATTTTCCCTTAATAATGTAACTTTATTACATACTCCAGTTTATCGGTCGTACGCACTACGCTTCATTGAAAAAAAACACATGTTCCGTTCCGGTCGGTTTTACAAGCGTTCCTTCGAATCTGGACTTGCAAATGAATATAACCAGGCGAATATACGTGAATATGAAAAAGCATGCGTCTTTTATACTCTTGCAACAAGAAATTAACGAACGTCGAAATTCTCTAGGAGATTCCATGGGCGAAGTTGCGCGCTACAATTTTTAAGCATTCCACTTCGTTAACGAGATTAAATGAAATTATCCCGGATCGATATCGCGGCCTCTCGTCAAAATTCTCAAAATTCCCGGTGTAACCGTCCCGCTTATGAGATTCCTGCGGGGCCTCCGGTGGTCGCTGCCCCGTGGAAGTCGCGTGCACGAAATTGCACGGAGACGTCGCTGAAATTCCACGAAGGGCTGACTGACCAACCCGCGCGTTTCGCCGGACCTCAGCCCGACTGCAATTTATTGCGATAAAGGTGCAAAGCTATGACGTTCGACGCATCGTCTCACGACAAATAGCATTCCACGGGCGCCGATCGGTCAGCCCTGGCTAAATAACGTGGGATTTTTCACGTGACAGCTAACCCTAAGCCCTAATACTCTAACTGATTACGTCCTCGACTAGTCAAATAATAACCAGTTAACCGATTATGAGAACATTTGGAAAATGGACAGAATTAAGATATTATTTTTCTGAAGCATAAAATGCATTTTCTATAATTAAAAAGAAATCAGACGTCGGAAGAATAATGCTAATAATAAATAGCTA